GCTCGCCCCTTCTGGGGTAACACGTGGCTAGTCACTCGTTTTTTTTAACCTTCTCTTGAATTCTTGTCCTTCACAATCAGGGGTGACCATGCTCACACTGAAAGGCGCCTCTTCCTCTGGCCATCATGTGGCCAGCGGTGCCGTGAGCCTGCGCTGCTGTTCTGTGGTCCAGTTTCTGCTTAGAGCTCCAGCCACCAGCCCCGTCCATTCTCTTGGTTTACACAGAGAAAGCAAAACATCTCTTTGTTCCCCATCATAAAAAAGAACGCACAGACCAACATGTCCTCGTCTGTTAAGCTCAATAAAAGTTCAAATGTTTATCTCTTTATATTACAACATTTTTAATGCTTCACATTAATTTCCCTTTATCATTAGAGATACAGCTTTTCACAGAACTAGTTCATTCAAATGAAAAGGAATTACTACTGTAATTAATATTTTCTTTTGCAATGTTGGGGATCAACCCCAGGGCCTCCCACATGCTAGGCAAATGCTCTACCACTGAGCTACATCCCCAGTCCCCTATCTACTGTTTTAAACAAAACTCCTGTCCTTTTAAATGTTTACCATCGCTGGGCCTGGTGGCACACACCTGGAATCCAGCGACACAGCAGGCTAAGGCAGGAGGATTGCAAATTCAAGGCCAGCCTCAGCAACTTAGCAAGACCCTCAGCAAATGAATGAGACCCTGTCTCAAAATAAGAAACATAAAATATCCTTTGGGGAAGGTAAGGGAAGGGAACCGAAGACAGAGGCTAGAGAGGGAGTCCCCTGCCCTGCCAACTGAGGTAAGGATGTTGCAATCTGCCTTCTGACCCCTGCTCAAGAGCCTAGGAAACACCCAGTGGAGATAGCCTGGATTTGATGGAAAGACACTTTTTTTTTTTTTTTTTTGGTCTGTTTGTCTGTTTTCAGATGAACCCAGGGCCTTATAATGTAAGGCAAGTGCTCTGCCCCTGGCAAGTGACCTCTCTGAGCTGCATCCGAGTGACTGCTGCCCATGCCAACGGTCAGGAGTTTCTCATGTGGGTCTTAAATCTGCTTTTGGAACTCAGGTTCTGCAGAGAACGTGCCTCCCCCAGCACAGCCCCGCAGATGCGAGTGTTGGGGGCCTAGCTGCGGGCCTTCAGGGGAGGCCATGCCTACCTCCCGAGCCTGGGGTGCTCCTGGGTTGGAGGTGCCCCCGGAAAGGGCTTGGCAGGTGCGAGTCTTGCGCCATCCGGGTCACCGCCAGTGCTTCCTCCATCCTTCACTGTGGGTGACCGAGCACAGATGGCCCTGTGCTTTCCCAGCTCTGCTTTACCAACCAGGGAGGCACAGAGGGTGAGGGAACGTAAGCGTTCGCCCACCCACCACGCCACGGAGACAGACCACCTGAGCCCACGCAGACTCTCCTTCTTTCATGATGGTCTCAGGGCCATTCTGAGGTCCAGCCCCGAGGTTCACCTTCCCTTCCTCTCAAAGTCCTCCTGGGGACCCAGGGGACCTGCGTGGGCACTGGGACGGCAGCCGATGGGGCACATGGGGCAGTGGGCAGAAAGGGTGCTCAGGGTGTGAGGAGAGTCCAGGGCAGCCTGGGCCAGGCCGTGACCTGGGCAGCAGTTTACAGATGGGCACAGGAAGGCCGGAGCAAGGCAGCCCAGAGCGTCCCCTCCACCCTCCCTGCTCCCCAACTGGGAGGCCAGCTCAAACAGGAAGGGATCTGGCCCTAGGCTGTTGGGACCTTGGGGTCAAACTTCAGTTCTGGTCTCTCACCTTTTACTTGCTCTCTGACTCTGGGCAGTTCCCCTCCTGGCTCCGGCTGTCAGGCTATAAAGTGGGAGTGCCCGGAGAGGAGAGGGCGGTGGGAAGGACTGGCTGCTGGGAGGTCGCTTGCCTGGAGGAGCCGGCTCTTGCTCCTCACTGCTTGTGCCCAGGGCGGGTCTCTGCTGGGTGCTGGCTGGCCTAGCTCTCCAGGGGAGGAGGCCTCCACCTGGCACCTGGAGGCTGGTGAGCTTTGTACCGGGTTTCACTTCCTGTGGCTCTTTCCTCTTAGTGACAACGGGGTTCCTTTTCGGATAACAGTACACTGTTTCCTTTGAAAATAGTTATTGGAGTAAAAAAGCCAATGTAAAGAAAAATCATTGAGGGGCTGGGTGGTGGCTCAGCGGCAGGGCGCTCGGCTAGCATATGCGCGAGGCGCCAGGTTCCAGGCGCTGGGTTCGATCCTCAGCACCACATAAAAATAAGTAAATAAAACAAAGGCATGCTGATCATCTACACCTAAAAAACGATATTAAAAAAAGAAAAATCATGAAGGATTTTACATGTGGCTGGGGATCTCCCACAGCAGTAGAGCACATGCCTAGCGTGAGTGAGGGCTTGGGTTCCATCCCAGGAGAAAGAGAGATCTTCTTATAAGAGATAAAAGGGTACAAGATTGTTTATTCTGTTTGCAGAGTTAACTGCCCTGGCATCACACTGTTCCAGGAAGGGGAACAGTCATGAAGAAGACAAGGGCACCTTCTGCTCTAATAGCTCATGTTCTAGGGCAGGGGACCGACAGGACAAAGGAGTGCGTAAGAGACACGGAAAGCGTGTTCAGTTTGCAAGAGGAAAACACGTGGAGATTGTCGGCAGTAGGTGATGTCTTTGTCCTCTCCAGCTACTGTAACAAGATAACACAGATTGGGTGGCTTATAACTAACAGAGATTCATCCTCCACAGTTCTGGAGGCTTAGAAGTCTAAGGTCAACACATGGGAGATCCAGTCTGGGGAGGACCTGCTGTCTCATAGATGGCATCTAGCTGTGTCCTCACAGAGTGGAGGAGGACGGGATCTCGGGCTTATTTATTTATTTTTAGTACCAGGGGCACTCTATCTTTACATCCCCAGCCCATTGAAAATTTTCATTTCAAGATAGAGTCTCGCTAAATTGCCCAGACTGGCCTTGAACTTGTGATCCTCCTGCCTCATCCTTCCCAGTGGAGTCTGGGGTTGAGTGTCACCGCGGCAGCCTCAGATCTCTTTTATGAGGGCTGTAACCCCATTCCTCAGGCCTCGTCCCCAACCACCTCCCAGTACTGTCATATGAATTCAGTGGGTGTGTGGGTGGTGGTAGGGGACAGCCATTCAGATAAGAGCAGGTAGTCTTCAAAGCCTCAGGACTGGTGACACTGTCTGGGTAAAGAGCTCTATGGGGACAGAAGGTCAAGAGCAGAGCATGGGTTGGGAGGGGAGCCAGCCATGAGGACGGGAGGTGACCAGGAAGGATGAAGAAGTACTTGGCAGGTGAGGTGTCCAGGAAGCCAAGAGGAAGGACCCCTAAAAGGAGGGACTAGGCTGTGACAAACCCGTCTGGAGGCCCCAGTAGGAAAAGGCCTGAGGCTCAGGCATTGGATTCGGTAACTCGGGATCCTCCTGCCTCACCCTTACCTGTCTCGGGGATGACAGGCATGCACCACCACACCTGGCCCTCCTTCCTGGCCCTTCTTGGTGGAAGTCAGCCACGTGGGAAGGAGAAAAGGGAGGCGCCAGTTCCTGAGCAGGGGGAGGGGTAACAAGGGGAGATTAGTTTTCCTGTTTGACATCGGGATCAGTGTCAAATTGGGATTTGACACAATGGGATCAGGCTGACCTAACTTTCTAATCAGCCTAATCAACAGTTTCACCTGGGGGGGGTGATGGACTCTGGGCAGCGGTGTCAGGCTGACAGACCTGGGTTGCCCCGGTGATGCTGCGTGTGGACTGGGGGACATTCATCTGTGTTTCAGTCACAGCGCCTGGATGGGAAGGATTCAGGGAGAGGGGAGAGAGGCAGAAACGTTGACTTGAGGATTGGACCAACAATGCAAAGGGCCATCAGGGCCAGAGGCCTGGAGATGTCTGCCTGGTCTCAGGAGGGAGGGGGAGTGGGTGCCACTCAGCAGGTGGGGGTGAGAGCTGGTGGGATTTTCAAAGCGCATTTAGTGGGCACTTACTGTGTGCCAGCTCTCACAGCTGCAATGGGCCCCTGCTTGTCTGCTCAGGGAGAGGCTGGGCGGGGAGGAAGTAAAGACCACTATTGCGCATCCAACCCAGGAGGAAGCAAGTGGGGAGCGGAGCTTGCAAGAAAATAACTGAAAATCAGTATAACACTGGGATGATGTCCCTTCCCCCACCCCCACTCCGCGTTTTGTTAAGGCCCAATCCTAAAATTCCAAATAAAACTCTGGGTCTTTTTGAAGAAAAGACAAAGGATTTCTTCTGGCCAGGGCCAGGGGAGCAGAAAGCAGACAGTTCTGCAGCCCAAGACACTGAATGCTGGTGGAGGGGCCATTCAACACAGAAATCCAACCAAGAAGGGGTGGGAGAGGAACACGAACAACCATCAGTCATAAAGCGGAAAGTACCACTAACAGAACATTTTTAGATGTTCTAGTATCTACTCAGACAGCTCCATAGTTTACAGACGTTGTGGTCAGGGTGCAAGTGGGTGGGGTGCCAGCTTCTGTGCCAGTGGGTTCCTACAGGAAGGGGGCCAACTCCCAGAGCAGGGTGAGCTGTCTGAGCACCATGGGATCAGCCTGACCTGACTTTCTAATCAGTTTCACCCGGGGTGGGGGGTGATGGATTCTGGGCGGTGGTGTCAGGCTGACAGACCTGGGTTCCCGCGGTGATGCTGCTTGTGGACTGCGGGACATTCAAGTTACTGAACGCTCTGAGCCTCAGGCCTCCCATCTGTTAAATGGGGAAAGGGGTTATAAACCCTGAGGTTGGCTCCGTACCTGTTGGGCGCAGGCCCGACCCTAAGGATCGGGAAGGAGGTGCTGGCCCGCAGCTGGCCGCGGGCGTGAACCGACCCTGCAGCTGGGCACCAGACTGCCGGGCGGGGCGGGGCGGCGCTGACCCCGCCCAGGGCGGGGGAGGGGGGCGGCGCTGGCGCCCGCGGGGTTCCCGGCACTGCCCCGAGCAGCCTCTGGGGCCGGTGTCGGCTGCTCGCCTCCGCGGGAGCCGGAGGTACGAGGGGCCAGCGGGCGGGGTCCCGGCTGGGGCGGCTGCGAGGCGCGGGAGGGCTGGGCCGCCGCCTCGGCCACCTGTTCTAGAGGCGACGTTTGTGCGCACAGACACCCCGCGTGGAGGTCCCTGGCCACCTCCTTCACCCAACTGCGCCCGAAGTTGAGCGCGGCGGCGGGACCCCGAGCCCTGGTGGCGAGCGGAGAAGGTAGCAGCCCCCGGGAGCCCTCGCCCAGCCAGTTCCGCCGTGGGATGGGGCGCCCGGGCGCGGAGCCCCGTCCGCAGCCGCTCACCCCGCCCTGCGCTGCGACCTTGGGCGCGCCGGGTCCGGGGGTGCCGAGTGGTCCCGGGAGTGGTCCTTGGGTGCGACCGGCTGCGGGGAGAGCTGCGGGGACGGCGGCGGCGCCCGCCCTGGGATGCGGAGGCTCGGGACGTGCGCGGGAGGACCCTCCAGGTGGAGGAACCGCCTGGGTAAGGGCTGGGACCCCGGAAAGCCGCGGAGCGCCCTCCTAGGCGGTCCGCTCGCCCCCCCAGTCTCCAGCTGGGAAACACCGCGGTCCCCGAGGAGCCCTGGTGGGCTGGAGCGAGCTGCGCTGGAAGATCCAGTCCCCGGGTCCGCGCCGCCTCACCGCTGGGCTGGACCTCCATGCCGCGGCTTCCTTTTCTGTCACTGGGGTGTGTGTGTGTGTGTGTGTGTGTGTGTGTGTGTGTGTGTGTGTGTGTAAGTTTCCACCTCCTTGGCAGATTCAGCTGAGTCTTTGGCTCTGAGAGGGTTAAAGAGCGCGTCCCCTGCACCCACTGACACGGCCCTTTTGCCCTCCCCTCCCCCCAGCTCTGAGTGGTTCACTGTTCCCTGCCCTCCCTTTGGGGTCACTGAGAACCATTTATCCTCTCATTCATCAAATGCCCCAGCACCTGGCCTGTACCTCAGGCCTTCCTGTCCTCCAGCCGCTGAAGGGTTCCTGCTTTGCCACCTTCCAAAGCCACCCTGCCCAGGGACACAGAGCAGGGCCAAGAGTGGGCCAGGACTTCTACCCACTGTGCTGCCCCCCACCTGGTCTCCGTAGTCCCACCCCCAGCTCTTCAAACCTGATGGGGGTCCCTACGCCTGGTTTCCACCCTGTGCTTTCACAGTTGAAATCCCCTAAAGGAAAGTCCTCAAAGCAAAGAACAAAACAACAGGAAACCAGGGGCGAGGGGAGCTGTCCTTCTCCCAGGTGTCCTCCTTGTGCCCCAGGTGTGTGTCTGCTCAGCTGCTGGGACAGCCCAGCATTAGAAGACAACCTCTGAAGTGCAGATTCTTCTCTTTTAAAAATGTGTTTTGTTTCCTTGTACCAGTTGCTCTCTGCCGCTGTCTAGGCTGATAGGAGTTTTCCCCTTGTGGGTTGGGTCAGGGCTGGTGAGTGATAGGGTTCACAGAACCATTAGAGGTGGCTCGTTTGGTTCATCAGGAGATTATGATCCACCTCACCAGCCCCAGCCAGCAACTCCTAAACACCCCTGGCCATCTGGACCTCCAAGGTGCCCAGCATTGAGGTTGGCAGCAGGTGGATAACGTCACCAGCAGCGCACCTCCCAAGCTCTGGAACGCACTCCACCCCAGGCTCCCCACTGCCTCCCTCTCAGGTACCTCCTAGATGTGCTCACAACTCCTGCTGATTACCCTGCATTTTGTTCCTCTCACTTGGGTCTTCCCCTCCTCACCTCCAAGGGGGAAGGAAGCTTCTGGAGGGAAGGGACCTTGTCCAAATGCTGGTGTCCCAGTGCTCAGGCTGCTACCTAGTAGGTGCTCACTAAATGCTGCTTGAATGAATTAACTGAACAAAGTAGGGAGGAAAAATTCCACATTTGCATCATTTGGAGCTGACTACTATTAAAATTGCTCCTTTTTTTGCCAGATTTTTTTTTATATTTGTTTTTTAGTTGTAGTTGGACTCGATATCTTTATTTTATTTATTTATTTTTAGGTGGTGCTGAGGATTGAACCCAGGGCCCTGCACTTGCTAGATGAGTGCTCTACTGCTGAGCCATAACCCCAGCCTTTGCCAGAATTTTAAAAAACACCTTTTTCCATATTTGAATATCTTGTCTGTACAGTTGTTTTAATAGGATAATTTCATGAGGGTTTCTCACCTGTCATTTTTGTATTTTTCAATTCTTACATCTTGTTACATCATATTTATTTGATGGATTGCCTTTGATATTTAGGTTTTTTCAATAAATATTTGGCTTTTTAAACACTTCCTTGAATTTATGCATGTACTTTTCATGGAAAGGAATTCACCTGCTAGTCTGTGATCTGAATGAACTTCTACAAGGCTGTGCCTCCAGCCAGCTGGCTCCACAGAGGGCCTGTGCCCATGTGCGATTCCTGGGGCTGCGGGTGAGCGTTTTCACCATTTCCTAGAAATGGCATTTGTAGGTCAGTGGTCTGAGAACCTGGGGTCTTCCTGTGTTGCTTATCGATTTGCTTGAGCTCATCAGTGAGGTTTTTGCCCTGTCTGGTCTCCTGTGGTGGAGGGCTTTTCGCAGTGTGTGCTGGGGTTTTGCTCTACTTGTGTGTGTGCGTTTGTGAGGCTGTCTTGGCTGCATTAGCAGCGAGTGGGAAAGAGAGCGAGCAGAAGCCCTGGAAAAGGGTGGGCAGGTCTGTAAATGGAGGTCCAGGGGATGCCCCAGAGGGACCTAAGGACCAGAGGCCAGGAGGGGGCTGAGCGGGCACTTGATGAGCAGGCTTTGTTCTCCTTAGAGGTCTCAGTGCAGTCTCAGCCCCCTTGATGCCAGCTGCCAGCGCTGAGCGGGGCCTTCCATGAGCCTCATCCCCTGAGCCCTCTTCCTTGGGAGGTAGCAGGTGTTAACATCCCTGTTGACAGGCTCCAGAGGGACGGGAAGTGCCCTGCGCCCTGCCCGAGGCAGTCAACGAGTGGCAGGGCTGGGTTCAAAGTTCGCAGTCCGTGCCCTCAGCGCATGGATTCCTCCGCGACCCTACACGTCTGGTGGGTTTGGGGGCAGTGGTGGCACTCTGCTGTTCTGGTATGTGGTGAGCAACCTCTCCTCTCCTCTCTGCCTCCTTTGCCTCCCTCTGGGCCGATGTCAGTGGGTCCAGGAGCTTCTCGCCCTGTGGAGTCGGCAGCAGGACCCAGGGAGCACCCTTCCTTCCCGTGCCAGTTCCCGCATGCCCTCCCCTGTACCCACACTCACTCACCATGAGCCCATTCCAGCAGGAGCATCGGGGTCACGTCAAAGCAAAGTCTTAGCCCGCGGATGGAGCCGGACTTGAGTGGAAGAGCGCAGGCGTCGGACGCAGCCAACAGGCGCTCGCCCCGTGGGCAGATCTCTAGGGCTGCCCTCGGGTTGGGGGCATCCATGAACCACCTGAGCCCCACTAAGGGCCAGGCACTGTTAGCCTCCGAGGTGCTAAACTCTTCCCTCCACTTGGCTCTTTATCCAATGACACGGAACCCTCTCCCCAGGAGAACCAAGCTGGGCGGACCCCTTTCACCTGGCAAAGGGCCTTTGAGCCCAGCTGCGGGGCTTCCCAGCTGTGCCTCTGCTTCTTCAGCTTTTTTTTTTTTTTAATTGTTTAATTGGGCGGGGCATGGTGGCACACACCTGCAACCCTAGCAACTGGGGAGGCTGAGGCAGAAGGATTGCAAGCTCAAGGACAGCCTGGGGAACTTAGTGAGACCCTGCCTGGAAATACAAATAAAAAGGGCTGGCGATGTGGCCCAGTTGTGCAGTGTCTTTAGGTTCAATCCGCAGTACTGAAGAAGAAATGTCTAATTGACTCACGATGTCTGTACATATGGTGGATGGCGATGTCATTCAGCACCTGTACACAGTGTGTAATGATCAAATCAGAGCAATTAGCGCTGGCGTTGCTTCAAACATTTATGCTTTCTGTGGGTTGGGAATCTTTGGACTCTTCTAGTCCTTGTGAAATGTATCACAAACTGTTCTAGACCAGGGCTGTACTGTGTGCTGTGAACACCACCGGCATTCCCCTCTCTAACTTATTTTGGTCCTGGTTATCTACTTCCATCCCCTCCCCCTCCCCTTTCCTAGCCTCGAGTGACCTCTGTTCTTCCCACTTCTATGAGATGGACTGTCAGCTTCCACAAACGAGTGAGCACTGACGGTAATTGTCTTTCTAAACCTGGCTTACTTCACTTCCCATCATGTCCTCCAGTTGGTCGTGTGGCTGCAGATCTGGACCCTTGCTTGGCTGTGGGTTAGCAGAAGATTGGGAAGAATGGGAGTATCCAGTCACCATGATGCTGGGTGGCAGTCTATTTAGCTGCTTGTTATTTTATTATTATTATTATTATTTGTTTTGGTACTGGGGATTGAGCCCAGGGGTGTTTAACCCTTGAGCCACATCCCCCGCCCTTTATGGTTTTTTTTATTTTGAGACAGGGTCTTGGTAAACTGCTTAGGGCCTAAGTTGCCAAGGCTGGCTTTGATCTTGTGATCCTCCTGCCTCAGCCTCCTGAGCTGCTGGTGTTACAGGCATGTGCCACTGCACTTAGCTTCACACCTATTTTTAACCTTTAATACAGTAAGAAAAGGAGAAGGTGAAGCAATACATGAACTTTTTTTCAAGTAGAGCAAACTCGGGACTCTCCTAATTCAGGCTGAAAATTTTAGGTGTGCTTTGCATGGCGTTTCCCCACAGGTGTGCATTTGTCTGATGAAGATCTTTGCCTGATGCTTGCATCTCTACAATCTCTGGGCAGAGCAAGTGACAGAAGACTCATCTATGTGGCCACCAGAGCACTGTGTTATGCACCTGGCCATGTGCCTGGGTCCAGAGGGAATGGATAGGAGCCCAGATTCATGGTGACTATTTCTCCCTTATCTAGCATAAAGTCAGTGAGAGTGATTTCATCTTGACCCTGGGAAGCCAACCATAGCCGCCTAATCTTTTTTGGTGGTACTGGGGATTGAACCCAGGAGCCTTCTACCTCTGAGCTATTTCCCCAGACCCTTTTTATTTTTAATGTTTGTTTTAGATGTTGATGGACCTTTAATCATTTATTTATATGTTGTGTTGGAGAATCGAACCCAGTGCGTCACATGTTAGGCAAGCACCAGATCACTGAGCCACAACCCCAGACCCTTTTTAAAAATATATTTTTTTATTTTGAGACAGGATCTTGCTAAGTTGCCCAGGCTGGCCTTGACATTGTAATCCTCCTGCCTCAGCCTCCC